AATCCTATCACAAAAAGTGCATGCACGGGTAGGGAATGACCTTACTAGAAGGGATAGAATATCAACACATCATCGATGCATATATACATCTTATTAAGGAGAAAGTATGCATACTCATCTAGATGATACTTCATGAACAACTTGTCTTTTACTTGATAAACTTCTTTTGCTTTCATTTGCTTTTGTTTCTCTTAGTTGTCTACTCAAGTCATTTAGGGAACCCCAACCCATCGATTTTACTTTGTCATATCATGCTATCTTTTGAACATTTAGTTTTGAGTAACTACCATCAAAAGACCTTGTGGAGTACAACGCTAGGCACATCTAGGATTATTACTTATGTTTTCTACATCACAACCAGTTCGACATTACCTGTTGGCCCCTTTGGAAGCCCAACAATGATATTCTTTATGAGAAAGATCACCAAAAGAAATGCTTTTCTACAGCGAGTCATGGGATGGATAAATGTTATGAAGAAAGCCATTGAAGAGGATAGGCTAGTTCACAAACCTAAACTACCCATGCAAACTGAGGAGGAGGAGGTCTCATGGAAGCCACCTACTCCAGAATTCGATATTAACCTAAGTAAGTGCTCCATTACCAGGGTGAGTTGAGGGGTGTTGTAGAAGGGTTTTTGTTGGTTTGGGACGTTGGTTTCTTAAACGAGTTATGGGAGAATTGGAATCAAGATGTGCGGTTCAACTTCTACAAGGCCATAGTGGGAGTGACCACCAACACCTAGCATGATTGATTATTTTAAACATTTACTCTGACATGAATGAGAATTTGTTATCCCCCCATATCTATAGACATGGTAATAAGTGCGTCGATTATGTAGATAGTCACGATCATGTTTTGTCTCTTAGTTTACTTGTAATTTTGGATATTGATCCATTGTTTTTATCAATGACTTATGTATGATATTTAGAGGTGTCCTGAACCATGTTTGATTTTTAATGAAGGTTAGAATGCTCTGCGTCCATTTATTAAAAAATAACTCTTGATTTTTTTTAGTATTTTGATGTAATCTACTATAAATTTATATATGTCAACTACCATCATGTGAAAGAAAACACTGATATAAGCATGCAAGATATGAAACATGAGTTTCCAAATATAATTGAACCAATAAGAATGAAAATTTAAAATTTATCATTTGTTTGCTACCCGTTATTTAAAAGAAAAGAGTTTACAACCACAAGTTACATAAAGAAAACCGTATGTATGCTGAATAACACTAATATCTTTGTAGAATGTTGAATGAAGTCATTACAAAATTTTAGACCGAAGACAAAAACTTTTTTTGAGTAAGATTGAATTGAATAATACAAAGTGAATAAACCTATATAATAATATTTTTTTAAGTAAAAGATTAAAGATTACTAGTAGAACCTCGATAATTTGTATGATTTTCTCTTATTATTAAAAGGACACTATACAAAATTTCAAAAACAAAAGAAGCAAAAGGCCACATGTGGATGTCGTTATTGGTTAGTGGTTAATGCCAAACTAACTGTTATCTGAGTCGATAACAAGCGGTTAACCGATAATTCTTATCAATTCGATTTTCGTTTTGCATTTTTTTATGAGTGTTTAACCACTAACTTCCAAATTGGTTAGTGACTAAATGAAACCGAATCGATTAACATCTCTACTAAAAACTAAACTACTAAACCATAATATCTGCCCTTAAACACTAGATGCTAAACTCCTAAACCATAATCTCTGAACATGAAGATAATCAAATTAGTAGTATAAGATAAAGTACACCACATTTAAGATAATCAGATTAGTTCAAATCTAGAAATGTTCAATTGATAGCTTTGTGGATATTGACATTGTGCTGATGTATATATACTATAAAATAGCATACATTATCTAAATTATCAATTATTCGTTGTAAGATATTATAAAACAACCTATTTTCAAGTTTTGATTAAAAAGATTAGTTTCAAGAGAAATTTTACAATACTATATAGTATTGGTGCTATAAGTTTTTGTCTTTATGGTACAACTTAAAATTGTACCTTTAACGTTATGGTACAATTTGAACTTGTACCTATACGTTTTGTACAAATTCTTTTATGGTACAACTTAAATTTGTACCTTTATGTGATGGTACAACTTCAAGTTGTAAAGTTGTATCATAACATAATTGTACAAATTTCTTTATGGTACAACCTAAACTTATACATTTAATGTTATGGTACAACTTCAAGTTGTACATTAAAGCACCAATACTATATAGCATAGTAGAAGTGCTCTAATTTCAAGTATGTTTCTAACAATGTGAACTATTACTCTATTAGTTGAAACCACATATAAGCTTTATTTCCCATAGTTTATTCGACAATCATGTTCTTCGAGTTGAATCAATTGGGTTGCAGGTCAGGGTGGTTACGGGTTCATTGGGTTGTGTGTCATCGGGGTTACGAGTAAGTCGGGTTGCGAGTTAAGCAGGAAATGGGTCAAGTGGGTTACTACTTAATTGGGTCATGAGCCAATCGAGTTTAAGGTTAATCGGGTAACAATTCAATCAGGTGGGTTCGACTCATTGACTTTAGCCAATTCGAGTTACGGACAAGTTGATGTCGAGTTGACAGGACAAGTTACTCGATTTGAGTTCTATTTTGATAGGTCTAGTCGCATCCATGGTAAAATGAAGTGTCTTAGTCTTGTGGTGGCATGTTGAGTTGTAGCACACTATATTGTGGTCAACTAGTGGTCGGTTTACAGCACGCATCGCATGATCGTCCTCCCTCACTTATCAGGGTGGTCATGAACAACGATCCAAGCTTCTTAAGTAACCTCCCAACTCTTATGATGTGTTGAGTTGACAACTCCAAAGTTTAACTAGCAATTACATATAATATCTAATTATCATACTTTTAAGTAGGGGTGATAAATGGTTATGTCGTTAACGGTTTAACCGATAACCACACCCCTAATTGAGGTTAACGATTAAAACTTTAACCGCTAAGAAGAATATGAGTCATTTAGCGAAAAGCTGGAAATCCCTTATTAGGTTATCAAGTCATGATTGATTAATAATTAACGGTAAGCGATTAACCAATTAATAACCGATAAGGGTTTTTAACCTCTCAAAATAGGCAAAACGTCACACTCAACGAAGGAAACAACTTCCTCCCTTACCACTCTACACTCACCGACTTCAATCTCATCGTCTTCTCAGGTCCAATGAAGAACGAAGGATGGTCGAATAGGTTGTGCCACGAACCACGAATCGAAGATCGTCGTGCTAAGCCCACTCCATGGTGGCTTCCCCATTAGATTGAAGAGAGGATAATAGAGAGAGAGAGAGAGAGAGAGAGAGAGAGAGAAGCAACATTGGTTGGCCTCGATGTTGCCACCGTCGTGAGCCTCCTCTCCTGTTTTACTAGGCAGAGAAGAGGTGGATATTGCGGTTCAACTATTCGAGAGTGAAGGAGAATAAGGATTGTGTTGTCTTTTGTTAGTTGGTTCACAGAGGTAGTTGATTCGTTCTTTTTATGTGCAGAGGAAAAAAAGAAAGAAGAGAAGATGAGAGTGAAGAGAAGAAGGGAGTGCGCAGGTAGGGTGCTCCTTCTATTACTTTACTTTTATACATTCTTTCAAAAGACAATTTTGCCCCTTGCCTCTTGCTCCAAACCTACCACCATTGTCTCTTACAAGCAAGGTTGTCAAACCAATTTAATTAATTGAGTCGGTCAAGTAAGTGGGTAGAGGTTCAATAGTTTGATCGGGGTCAAACCTGTTTGATCTGCTTTATACATTTTCTAAATGTATATACAAATAAAGTAATTTCAAATTCTAATAACTAAAATGAAATTTACTTTGCATGTAACTATTAGAAACTCGTATCTCATAAAAAATTACACTCAACCCATGACCCACCCAACATCCTCCTCTCCTCTCTCCCCCTCTACCAACATTCTCCCTCTCTAGTGGGCAGACCAGGGACTTTCTTGAGACCATTTTGGAGCCCAAAAGTTATCGAACTGGGTCCTACCGGCAGACCGGTAGAGGTTTAACAACCTTGCTCTCAGGGGGTAGGCGGTTAACCGCTAAAATAATCGCTAACCACATCGATGGTTAATGATTCACCGCTAAGCCTTGACGGGTTAGCTAAATGTAATATTATTTTTTTGGGTACACACTAATTATCTGCCAAATCTTTCTTGCATTCTCTTTAACAAAACCACAGATCAATTCTGTCAGGTCATACTACGAGTGCGAAATTGCCTCTTTAACGAAGCACACAAATAAGTCTTTGACAAGAGCATTGGTGAACATACCATCTTGAAGAATATTCAAAGAGCGAGTGTTCAATGCCTTAATGAAATCCACCACATGGGGGGCAAAACGCATAAAACTGGCACCACATCATGAGTGACGCGCCACCAGTAGGGGGAAACTAGGGGTACATGAGCCCCATCCAGAGTGCTCGTCAGAGATTTAAAAAAACCCAGTAATAACAAGCTAGAGATGAGTTAAAACTCATCACCACCATGGGGGGCAATTGTTGGGGATGTTACTAAACCCACCGTATATAGACTAAGTAGTAGCGCACATGCATGGTGGTGCACTAGCATGGTGAGCTCAACCTTGACACAAATTGAGACTAAGTAGTAACGCACCAGCATTGTGGTGCGCCCGTGACACCCAAGCTAAAATGAGACTAATTAGTAGTGCATCAGCATTGTGGTGCACTAGCGGTAACGCCCAACCTGTCGTGCAACCAGTGCCCCCCCCCCCCCCCCCCCCCGGTCTATATAAGGGCTTTCAAGCCCTCCAAAGAGTGGACTCAATACTACTTATTACATTCGAACCTGAAACGTTCGGATTCAATACTAGTGAGTATTACCACTAGACCAATCTCTTATTTGTTAACCTTAATAAATTTTGTGTGTGACAATCTATCGATTATCACCTATAACTTGTAATTATTCTGTAAAATTGGAAGTTGCATTTTGTGAAAAGGAATATTTCAACTTTTTTTTTATTCAAGAATATTTCAACTTCTAAGTTATATGTTGTAAATTGAAAATTATAATATCCATCAGATCTAAAATTTCAACCTAGCAGCCAATCATTACAATACACAAGAGAAAACTATCCTTCTTCATTAATATATGGATTAGCACCTAGCAATCGCCACTTTGATTCCTTCAACCCCCTCTTCTTCTTCTTCTTCTTCTTCTTCTTCTCCTATGAATATTATTACAACTATCGCGCATTCGAACAGATTCTTCCCTATTCTTCAGAACATAGCATAAAAACAGAGCTTCTTCCCCGTGATCTAGGGTTTTCCGTTCGTTGCTTCGTCGTTACATTGACAACGGCAGGAAGCGCGATGCCGGATATGGAAGGGGCGGTGTCAATGAGTGACGTGGCGGCTTTTCAACCGGAGGCCCTCCAGCTCCCGGAGTTGTCACCATTGGCCTTGAAGGCTAATCCTTTCCTCGCCGAGCAACTCTTCTCCCAATGGCTTTCCCTTCCTGATACTTCTCGATTGGTAAGCGAAACCCTAGTTGCGTTTCCGTCTTCATTGCTCATCAACATTTGCTGAATTCGGGGATCTGCTCTGGATTTGATTCTGATTGCCGGCCCTCTTCGTTTTGTATCTTGTTTTCCCTAAACTTTAGATAAGGACTTTGGAATTCTAGATCATCACTTAGATTCGGAAATCTGGAGAATAATTCTTGTCATGTCTATACCAATGAAATTCATAGGATACTTCTCTCTTCCAATTCACGCAAAATTGATAATTTGTCTCTACTTCTCCTGATTGCCAACATCGCCACATTTCCTCTTGGCCATGCTGGTATTCAGGACGGTTGTTGTGTTCTGTTCCTCGCCTTAATTTCTCTGGGATTTATATATACGGATGTAGGTCAAATCCTTACTTTCTGCGGCTAAGACTGGGGAGCCTTTGAATGCGGTTGGCAATTCAAGTAGCACCAATGCTGGTTCTGGCAGCCCAATACCGTCCATGTTTCCTTCTGGCTGCACTCCCCCACTTTCGCCTCGTAGCATCTCGGGCTCACCACGTACTGTGAAACAGAGAGCTGGTCCTTCCTCTTTAAGCTCTCCACTGAAAGTCATCAGTGAGCCAGTGCGAGAAGTCATCCCTCAGGTTTGAGTTTTTCTTCGAATGTAACTGTTATGACATGGCCAATGATGTATCAGATGTACGGAAGATTCTGACTTCATATTGTTGGCAGTTTTACTTTAAAAATGGACGGCTGCCCCCAGATGAGACGAGAGAGCGTTGCTTGTTTGATGTTGATCAACATTTTTACGATCACATGGATGGGTTGCAACAAAATGGTTAGGGGACTGCCCTTTGGTTCAAGTTTTGCACTTTTCTTTCTCAACGTTTTACTTAATTGTTTACCTTAGTTAAACCTTGCCTAATATTTGATGGTTTTCTTTTTGTTTATGTCTGTCTTCTTCTGTGCTAGAGTTTAAGACTGTTGCAAAGGATATCTGCAAGCTCCCGTCTTTTTTCTCAACCATATTGTTTAGAAGAATTGATGTCAATAGTGTTGGTATTATCACAAGGTATCTTACTGATACAAGCCTGACTTGCCTGTGTTTGCTCGTCGTAATATCTTTTTAGCTAAACTGCCTCATGTAGAAAGTATTCGTGGTTTTGCTATCTAATTCTCGGTCCGAAGAAACAATATATGTTCCTGGAACCGTCTTTCTTTGTACTTTTGACTGTGAAAAGCTTCTTGGTAAATTTACTGTTGAAATATACTTTCTCCCCTCCGATCTGCTTCCATCTGAGAAATACCTCCCAGATTCATTTGCGCTCCCTTTGGCTTTGTAACGCTGTAATTGAAATCACAGTTTTAAGAACGCAAATAGTACTAAATTTTTCTCTTCCTAGGCTGATGTTCCCTTGTTGAGCTATAGTAGAAGTTGCTTGTTTTAAAAAATCCAAAAATGTTGCTTTCTTTTCTTTTATTTTTTTCATAAAGGAATGAACCTATATGTAGCTATATAATAATATAATTCCAAAATCCCAATTGTACTGTACTTTTTGGTGCCATAGGTTAGTTAACATTCTTGGACTATGAATGCCGAGTTTTGGGATCCCAATTAGGTTGATATTGCAGTGTTGCATGTGAATTGTATGAAACATGCTGTAGCTTTCTATGAGCTTCTGTTTATCAGTGTCCTTGACATTTAATGTTGCTGTTATCCATAGCTTCTTCTGTTTTAATTTTTTTTTTGCTTTATTTTTTTTTTGTCACAAAATACAGGGATCAATTTATTGACTATTGGGTTAAAGGAAACTTCTTGACGATGGACTTAGCAACTCAAATCTACACCATTCTCAAGCAACCAGATCGTGGATACCTTACTCAGGTAAACTGTGAAGCCTTGCCTTTTGTTCTTCCATTTTGCAATTCCTTCTTATCATTTGCTTTGGGTTGTTTATTGAATTTTTGGTGAAAACTGAATGTTTGTTGCTGGATTATTAGTTACAGTGGTTCTATGTATGCCTTGTGTGCAGGAGGATTTCAGACCTATTTTACGAGAAATTTTGGCTACTCATCCGGGGTTGGAATTTTTGCAGAGTACTCCAGAATTTCAAGAGAGATATGGTAGTTTATATTTTCTTTCATTTCCTTCGTGTAAATGCATAGATCCCATATATGCGAGTGTCTTATGTTCTGTTGCGTTTTCTCATACAGTATTGCCTCCGTTTTTCCCTGTAGGATTTTTATGGTGTTTGGAAATCTGTTAGTCTGGTCTTTATGTTTTCATATTCAGGCTAATTTTGTTATTCTTCTGTTTGTCTTCCTTTTAAGATTTGGAGGTGATAACTTCGGCAGATGGGAAATCTTTTTTCTGTGTTACTTCCAAAAGTAGTATGAGGCCTTTATAAATACAATAGTAGTATGCGGCTTAAGATGGGTCTTGCTTTTAGTCTCTTATTTTATGATCGTGTCTTAGTTTATATTTGTAGGACATTATGTTTAGTAAGGCCCTTTTCTAACTTAAATTGCAATTGAACAGCTGAAACGGTCATATACAGAATATTTCACTATGTAAATAGATCAGGAACTGGTCGTCTCACCCTCAAGGAGCTGAAGCGTTCAAACTTGGTGGCTGCAATGCATCAAGTGGACGAGGAAGAAGATATTAACAAAGTTTTAAGGTATGCCTGTAGCTAAAGATTTGACTGATTATATAACCATAGTAGTTTGTATGGAACTGGGAGATGTAAGGGAGGCTAAGTCAGACGAGAATATGAAATTGGTGTCTTTTTGTCTTCGTCCTTTCAGTTTACTTTTTGTTTTTGCTAATTCTTAGTATCGAGTGGTGTCCGAACTCAGAGCTTTCACAATCCTTTCTCAGTTATTAGCATCATCAAATGTCAGTCTATACTGTGATTGTCAGCTCAATGTTATGCTATGTCACTTCCCATAAGTATTTATGGTTTTTGTTTGGATCTGCAAGGTACTTCTCTTATGAGCACTTCTATGTGATATACTGCAAATTCTGGGAGCTCGACACAGATCATGATTTCTTAATTGACAAAGAGAACCTTATTCGATATGGCAACCATGCTCTTACATACAGAATTGTTGATAGAGTATTTTCTCAGGTGGGTGTGTTTTACTATTGTTACAAGGCTGAGTTCTTACAAAAATTCACCACCCAGTGTCAGAACTTCTGTGTCTCTAATATCAGACTCTCTTGTTTAGGTCGCCCGGAAATTTAGAAGCAAAGTTGAAGGCAAGATGGGTTATGAAGATTTTGTCTACTTCATACTCTCTGAGGAGGATAAGTCTTCTGAACCTGGCATCGAGTTCTGGTAAATAAGTTGCTAGTTTTGGAATCACATATTGAGTTTGTAATTGCAAATTGAGAGGTGGTAATCATGTCAAGAACATTTTTAAATTTAGCACTGATATGTTCTTTTCTTGGAGTGCAAAACAAAAACCGGTTCGTTTTGTGGAGCAAGATTGATATTTTCTGGATCTGTCTTATGTATACTTCTGTTTGGTGAAGTTATCATATCTACTATTAAACAACCGAATGCCAACAGCGAAAAGTAGCAGAATGAAGCGCAGCAACAAATTTCTTGTCATTTTTCATCGTAACCAGTCTTTCATCTTGATGTCTTCATTTGGGGCTTTATCAACTTCTTGATACTAGATTAAGTGCTACAGGCTGTACTTCAGGGTAATAGGGTAATTATTTGAGTTTTCAACTAGTTTGATTTGCTACATTATTTTGGCGCAGGTTTAATTGCATTGATCTGGATGGGAATGGCGTCCTCACTTCCAACGAAATGCAGTTCTTCTATGAAGAACAATTGCATCGAATGGAGTGCATGGCACAAGAACCAGTCCCTTTTGAGGACATATTGTGCCAGATTATTGATATGATTGGTCCAGAGGTAACTTCCTTATCTATTCTGCTTATCCTTTTGCACTTTTGGACCTCTGTCATATTCATATCTGATAATGCAGACCGAGGGTCTTGTCACATTGCGTGACATGAAACGGACCAAACTTGCTGGGCACGTGTTCAACATTCTTTTCAATCTCAATAAGTTCATCGCCTTTGAAAGCCGGGACCCTTTCCTAATTCGTCAGGTAAGTGGAAGATGTTTTGTTACTAGGATTTCAAATCATGGCAGTTTCTGGCTCAAGCTGGTGACTTGATGACGGCTTATAATTAGATAAATGTTTATTTCAGGAACGAGAGAATCCGACATTGACAGAGTGGGATCGTTTTGCACATAGAGAGTATATAAGGCTTTCAATGGAAGACGATGCAGAAGATGTGTCAAATGGAAGTGGAGATGTGTGGGATGAATCACTTGAGGCTCCCTTCTGAACGCTCCCTGTAGGTATTTATTTATTCTCTCATGGCCTTTCTTTCCAGACAGAAGCCAACATTTTAGTTTCAGAAGGCTTGTTTCTATCTTAAAAGGGTGTGTTCGTGTAAACAATGTACCGTTCGCTGTATTTTTATGTCCAAGTGCCGCTTTTCCTCCACAGTAATGCAGTATTCACTACAGGTTTGGGCCATGGATCGCTCTTTGCAGGGAGGAAGATTTTGTATTATTGCTCACCGCCTTCCCACAGATGCTTTTGGTGATAGTTAAATCGATGTTGATCAATACATGTATAATTTTATACATGTAATTAAGAAAATACACTGTTTACAGTATTTTTCATTTATTTATGGTTATTGTAGTATTAAATAAGTTATATTATTTTTGGTGAAATATCACTTAGTCTTTATTTTTAATATAGAAAAGCATAACAAGTAAATTTTTTGAATATAGTTGGGGGAAAAGAGCCAGCAATCTAACCTAAACTATTTTGAAATCTCGTTTTGAGTGATAGTTTGATGGGATAGAAGGGGCGTTGCATGCATCTGTGAACTATTTAATTACCAAAGAGTTCATACAAACAGACCCATCCGTAGGGTTCACAAAACAGAGGATTACCAAGCATGACAAAATGCAGAAACAGAGGAAAGATAAAACAGGAATCAACACAAACAGTTAATCTAATCCACCCAGGTAAGAGCTTATTTATATGCAAAGGTTATTCTTCTTCTTAGACTTTGATAGAAGTTTGGAGGTGTCTCATGGCTTGGGCACATACGTCTTTGATGGATCATAGTTGTAGTTCGGGTCGGGTTGAGTCATACTTATGGGTCGAATAATAACAATTTCAACAAATGACCCCTTAATTCTTTCTGTTACACGTCTGATTTTTTCTGCTCTATGTAAGGGTCGCTTGTTTTATGAATTTAAATGATGGATTTTTGGTCTTAAATTCAATTCAATCATTATTTGCTTGAAGTTTATTGGGAATCAAATATGTGAGGTCTATGGACTAAGTGGCCAAATCTACAACAAAATTCATAATCAAATCCAATAAGCAAACAATAGTATCTTTCAGATCAATAACAAAAACCAATCCATTTAAAATTTAGGCTCGTTTGGAAAATTGGAATGTTGTACTCTAGATTCTGAACAATCCCAAAAATCTAACTCATTGGATTCTTAAATTTCTTTTTAAAATGTTAGTTGTTTGGTAATTGTGATTGTAACAATAGCATTCTACAACAAGGAATGACATGTGGTAAAAAAGATCTATTCAAGGCATTGGATGATTTTTATTTCATTCCCAAACAACATTGCTAGTTCTTTTATCTACTTGACCCAAAGAAGGATGACACTGAAGAAATAAGATAATTTCAACCACTACAAGATTATTTCAAAAATATTGGTTGCTCATCTACAGCCATACATGTATCGGGTCATCTCTAAGAATCAATTTGTTGGTATCAAAGGTCGACAGATTTATGAAGCGGCCCTCATCGCTAATGAACTACTTGATTGTCGGCGGAGAAGTGCGAGACCAGGACTCATCTTCAAACTAGACTTAGAACGAACTTTCGACAATGCTATATGGGGGTGGGGGCTCAAAAAGATAATTAAGTCATTGAAACCCAAGAATGAATAAGTGGTTTAAGGGAGTAATCTCCTCGAAACTACCTGTACTCGTCAATGGTGAGGCAACAAGCTTTTTCGATATGGAAAGGGGGTTGAAACAAGGTGATCCACTCTCTCTTTTCTTATTTAACCTTGCCATGGACCACCTCTCCTGCATACTACAAGAAGCAAGGAATGTCGGGCTCTTCTTAGGATATTGTATTGATGAAAGGAATCAACGAGGCAAGGTGACACATCTCCTTTATGCAGATGACGCAATCATTTCCTGTGACATCACGGGAGAGTTAGGTTTGTGGAGAAAGAGAAATGGAAAGTCATATATGGTGTAACACGTTAGGCGAATCCCACATCAACAAAGTATCGGAGAGATCCATGATTCATAAGTAAGAAACCGAATTAGCTGAAAAGACACATTTTGTAGTGAAATGGAGAAGTTCTTGTAAGAACTCTAAAGTTAAATATGCTCGTTGTGGAGCACTACAAGGATGAGCGATCTTGCAGGAAGTCACTTTGATATGCACGCCAAGACAAAATCTGTTAGCATCAAGGGCCCGAACTAGACAATATCTTGGCCGGGAAAAGATTTTGGTGTTACAAATGGTATGAGAGCCTCTCCGCATCTCTCTTGGACGATGGTAGGGAAAACCTCAACGAAGACGTTGAGTCCCAAAGGGGAACTATATGTAACACCTTAGGCGAATCTCACATCGACAAAGCACGAGAGATATCCATGGTTCATAAGTAAAAACCGACCTTAACTATAAGATGCATTTTTGGGTGAAATGGAGTTCTGGTAAGAACTCTAACATAAACGTGCTCACTGTGGAACAATACAAGGATGAGTGACCTTATAGGAAGTCACCTTGATATGCACCCCATGAAAAAATCCGTGAAGGTCTGGACCAAAGTGAACAATATCTAGGTTGAGAAAAGGTTTGGTGTGTTACATATGGAAAAGGTTGGTAATAACTTGCAGTAAGTTGTTTTTTCCAAAACTATCTCTGACGTAATCCCGATCGTCAATTAAAAAAAAAAGAAGTGGGCAATGAAAAATTAGATTGTCAAGATAAAAAATTTGCACCTTAACTTATTTCGGCCAAGCCGTAATCTAGTTATAAAGTTGTTTAATGCCCATCCCACCCTAATTTGTTTTTTTGGCAAAATACACATGGATAGCCATAACTTTGTAGTTTTTGACAATAATAGCCAACTTTTGAAAAATACACAAATATAACCATTCCGTCAATAACTTTAACGTTATTGTCATAAATGCTAACTGCACTAACGTTTTCTAATGACGTGACATTTTTTCATTGATTCTCCTACCTCAATTTTTTGTCCATTTATTTAATTAAGCTAAATAAACAAAGTAAAAAAAAGTCATCTTCCACAGACCACCTGTGCCAATCCTCTTACAATTTTCGTCCGTCCCCATACCTCACCTCCACCGGCCGACCACTCCTACGTCCTACCACTTCTGACTAATCGACGACACATCAAAGCTCACCTCCGTTGGGAACTCTGCCTCCACTTGATTCGCCTCTCATCGGAAAGGATTCCTATGTACATAATCTCTTCGCCGCCTCTCTTGATCTCATCCTTCAAATCTCTCATTAGAAAAGATCCAGGCAGACTATTCTCACGAGGCTGAAGAAGAGCATTTTCCAACTCTTTAACTTGGTGGCGCCACTAATGAGCTAGGATGTCAAGCCTTAATTGTTTGTGCTGAAACACACTAGTGCACTGGTTCTCCCACAACCTCCATAGAAGGCAAACAACCTACAAAACCAAATAATACGCTTCTGGTTCCCGTTTCTTGCTTAAGGCAAACCTGATAAAGCCTACCAATGAAAGTTTCTCGCACTTGCGCCAATACTCTTGAAACCCATTTAAGGGCTAAATTTTTTTAGCTAACACACAAGAAAAGAACATATGGTCTATCATTTCTTCCTTTCGACCACAAACCGGGCATATTGGAATTAAATCCATCGCTCAAACCACCAAATCCTCCCTAGTAGAGAGAATACAATGTAAACATTGCCAAATAAAAAAATTGAAGCTTAGGGGGTACCTTCAATTTCTAAACCCATTGCCAAATCCATTGCCAGAGAAAACGATCCATTACTAAAGATTGAGAGTTAGCTGGAGGTTGACGATGATCCTGAAAAGCAATATGATAGGTCGACTTGACTATGAAAGAACCTGAGGCATCATAATGTCAAATCAGCGAGTCAGATATCTATCGATGTGGAAGTGGAATCCCTCCGATGATGCGGACATAAACTTCGACAAAAAATAACCTCAACATAGCCTCATTCCATAGCTTAGTAATCGGGTCGACAAAGGCTGATATGAAAGGCAAAGCAGAAGGAGCTCCTCTCCGAAGACATGGCAAGGATGGCAGTGTAGTTAGGATCCAGAGTTTTTTCCAGAAATAGCACCTTTAAAAAAAAAAATTACAAAACTAGCACCCGCCCAAAAATATTTACAAAACTAGCACCTTTTTTTATTGACCGCACCCTCCAGGTGCGGTTTATATATAAAACGCATCCCCCAGGTGCGTTTTAAATGTAAACCGCATCTGGAGGGTGCGGTCAATAATTGTGGGCCTAAACCGCATCTGGGCCATGCGGTTTCATGTCTGGCCTACATGAAACGCATGGCCGAGGTGCGGTTTAGGCCTGACCTACCTAAACCGCACCTTAGAGATGCGGTTTCTGCGTTCAAGAACAAACCGCATCTCTAAGGTGCGGTTTTGACATGTAGACCGCACCCCCCAAGTGCGGTTTACATGTCAATAATTTTCCGACACCCGACACACCATGCAGAGGATTATGGACGTAGGGCTGCATGCAGACTAAAACCGCACCCTAGAGGTGCGGTTTTCACAATTTTTTCCCTATATAAGACTTGCCGGAAAACCTCAACTCTTCACACCTCTCATTCTCTCTTTCATTTTTCTGTTGTATATCTATATTTATTTAGTGTGTTTGCCATTAAGATCAACTCGTAAGTTTATTTTGTGTTACTTTTTATGCCATTAACATTAACTCGTAACTTTATTTTGTGTTACTTTTTATGCCATTAACATTAACTCGTAACTTTATTTTGTGTTACTTTTTATGCCATTAACATTAACTCGTAACTTTAATTTGTGTTACTTTTTATTGCATTAACATTAACTCGTAAGTTTATTTTGTGTTACTTTTTATTGTTATTTGTGATCTGTGATTTTTATGATATTAACTAAAACTATGGTTTGTTTGTGTGCAGATGGCATTCCGTCAGTTGTTGCTTGGCTTACGGTGGAATGGTTACACGGAAGACACCGGAAAGGGGGCCACCTACGTCGGTGGCAATTTTCAGAAAATAACGGT